CCTCCTCCTCCTCCTCCTCCTCCTCCTCCTCCTCCTCCTCCCCCTCAGAGATCGTGGGGGGTTAGGGGGTAGGGCTCGCACGTGGCCCCGAGTGGCCGTCGTGCGTCTGGCCAGCGGCTGTGTGTCTGCAGGCGATCGCGCTCCCTCGAAGCCTGGGCACCACGGCCCCAGCACCTCGCCGGTGCACAGGCTGAAGTGCGTGCCGAGGCTCCGGCGTTGGGTCGGGCATGGCCCCCATGCAGGCAGGGTTCGGAGGAGAAATGAAGCAGACCAGACCCCCAACATCATTCGGACATGATCCTTCAAACAGAAGGTGCCCCAACTGCCCACTGCCTGCAGCACATAATTTCGAAAATCTGAAAAACTACTTAACTATAGTAAGCAATCGTCTCCACTTCCTTTTCTTGTGAGTGCAGCTATGTTTGAATAATTATCCCTCCTGTAGAGGGACGTGCCCGACCTAACTCTGGCAGGAGGCGCGCAACACGCGCCCGTCCACGACCGTGTGCGGCCCGGAGAGCGGCTGCCCCAGCGGCGGCAGGGCGTCCTGCGCGGCGTAGAGCTCGCCGGCCTTGCAGAGCACGGGGGGAGTTCGGCAGCCTTTAACCGATCCCCGTCCCCATCCCCATCCCCTTCGAGACCCCCACCAAATTACCACCCCAGTTGGGATACGCCCCTCGATACCCGAAGAGAACGACGTAGATCTCCATCCAGGGGGCGGCTGACAGAGCACGGCTCAGGTCGGGCATGTCCCCCTACAGGCGGATTTTGGGCGAAACATCAAACATATTCCAGACATATCCCAAACTAGCCGAAACATTCTCAAAACATAGCCCCTGGACTATATTTGGAGTATTTTGGAATCTTCCTCCTGTAGAGGGGCACGCCCGACTTCAAGCACGGCAGAAGTCTCCTCTCTAACTCTACCACCCCCTCGCCGCTCCCACTCATCATACTCATCATCACCATCTTCGTCGTGATTTCTCTTCTGCCTCCTCCTCCTCCTACACCTCCTCATTCGCCTCCCCCTCCTCCTCCTCCTCCTCCTCCTCCTCCTCATTCGCCTCCCGCTCCCCCTCCCCCTCCCCCTCCTCCTCCTCCTCATTCGCCTCCCGCTTCCCCTACCCCCTCGCCCCCCCCCTCCCCCTCCTCCTCCTCCTCCTCCTCCTCCTCCTCCTCCTCCTCCTCCACGCCTCCTCCTCCTCCCTCCTCACTCCTCCTCCTCCTCCTCCTCCTACCCCCTCCCCCTCCTCCTCCTCCCTCCTCCTCCTCCTCCTCCTCCTCCTCGTCCCCTGTCCCCCCCCCGCGCCCCTGCTACTGTGGTCCGCGTCAAAGGGAGGGCGAAGGTGGTGCCCTGAGATCCTGGCGTCTCAATTTTTCGAGCAAGGCGTTCCCGCCTGGTTTCGGGCCCGAGGGCCATCACAGATCGATCTGGCTCGAAAAGTGGCGCGCAAAGATGTGGTCCTGGGCTCTGGTCATGATTTTCAACGATGTTGCATTTTTTCGCAACGGCAAGAGCTCGCCAGTCTTCAACGACAAATCAAGGGATAAGTCCCTTTTGTGGTGGTGACGGTGCAGAGGGGCGACGAGAAGAAGCAGGTCTTGGGCGAGACGACTTTGTAAGCTTACGCCACGGCTTACGCGGGCCGCCAGCGTGGCACGTCGCATGGCGAAGAGGACGCTTTCACGCGACCTCACGCGGGCAGATTGTGCGAGATGTTCCGCGCAGTCGAAATCGGTCTTCTGCGTTGCGCATGCGATGATCGAGGTCGGTGGTCTCGTCCTTGCCTTGTGCTGACTGCCTACCAGACCACCCCAACCCAATCCGAAGACCCAAGAATTTGGGTTGGGGGGGGGGCGCCGGTTCCACATGCCCCCTCCCCCCCACTTGGAGTGGAGGGCAGATTGAGGCCTTCGGGTTGGGTTGGGGTGATTCGGCTGGTGGTGACGCGTCAGGTCCCCGAGAGCGGAGCTGGGGAGAGCCTTAGGGGTTAGATATAGGAGCGGGGGGGGGGCGACTGAGCACCGTTTGACCGATCCCCATACCGAGCGGCGTGGCCTGGGCCCCACTGGCCGATTCAGCCCCTCAGATGGGGATATGGGCCTATCCCCAGCTGGGGGGGTAACTTGGTGGGGGCCTCGAGGGGGATGAGGATGGGGACTGGGGACTGGTGAAACGATGCCGAGCGACGCCGGCGCGGCAGCTCCAGGGTAGAGCGAGGCCCAATCCGAGCCAAGGCCGCAGGGAGCCTCAGCACGGAGCAAGCAGGGCACCCCACCGCACGGAGACTTCCTGCCGTGCCTGATGGGCATGTCTTCCACGACCATTACTAATATACGTTGCAGGGGGAGGGGGTCCTCCTCCTGCGCCTCCTCCTCCTCCTCCTCGTCCTCCTCCTCCTCCTTCCCCCCTCCAACTTTTCGGTAGTGGTGGTGCAAAACAGGCCCCTCAGTGCCCACCCATACCTGGCAGGAGTGCGCGTGGGCGTACACCATCGAAGCTCCGCGCGGAGTCCTTCGATCGGCGCCCGAACCCCACCCCCTCCCTGGCGCGCGGAGCGCGCCCAGGGGGCGGCGCTGGGAGGCGCCGGAACCAGGGGGTCCGAGCGCCGCTCGGGGCATTTCCGCGCGGAGCTCCCAGAGCTTATTCCCCAATCAGTGCTTGCACTGAAGGGATCCTAGCGGAAGTTGAGAGATTGGCGAAAGTTTCCCGGCAACTTTGGTAGCAGGCTGGGTTCCTGGGTACCCGGGTTCCCGGGCTCCTAAGTTCCCGGTTGATCTCCTCAGCGAAAGCCATCCCGGACTTTTTCTGGTGTAATATGTTAAATGCAATTTCGGACACTGTCGGGGCTGGGTTTAGAGGAACCTGAGGGATCGCCTCCCCCGCCCCATTCCACTGACCAGCACTGCCGCCACCAGAGAAACACGGGCTGCGGCAGACCTGGTCCAGCGATTCTGGCTTTTTGTTGGGCTATACAGGGCCCCATCACTGACCGGCTCCCCTGAATCAACCGAGGCCCTGACTGAACGGAAAGGCATGGCGACCCCCATCCCCAATTTTGGGGAGTTTCGAACAAAATTTGCGGCCCAACCCTGGAAAATACGTACAAGAGGGGGGGGGCGTCCATCCTCGATGTGGGGGGCGTCCGAAGAGCCCCTGCAAGGGTGCACCCCAGAGTTCCCCCCCCCCCTTTCCGAGCGGCCTACCTTATCGGGCGGACCTCGGGGATTGGGAGAGAGAAAGCCCTCCTGCAGTGACCACTCAGACCCCCGACGTCATCATTTTTTGCATGACGTCGACCCCCAGAGGCCTCGACACATTCCTGCGAGTTTTTGATAGTCTCGAGGCTCAGTGAGAGCTCACAGAGGCCGAAGATGCCGAAACACCTCCCGCTGTGCTTCCTTCATGACTCGAGGGGGTTCGGGTAGACGAAGGTCGGGCATGTCCCCCTACAGGCGGATTTTGGGCGACAAATAAGAAGTAGCCAAAACATGCCCCAAATGGCCAAACAATAGTCAAACAATAGTCCCCAGACTATTTGTTACTATGGATATTCCTCCTGTAGAGGGACAGGCCCGACCAGAAGGTAGGCATGCCCGACAATTCTCTGCTCCTCGAGGCCTTGCTGCGCACCAGCGCCACCCGCTGCGGCGGCGCGCCGGCCTGCGATAAATGCTGCATCTGCGGGGGGCCTGCTCGGTCCCGTCGCGCCCCCTCGCTGCGTCGAGCCCGTGCCCAGCCCATAGCGGACTCGCCGGGTCCCGCGTCGGATCCACGCCGACTCCGCGTCGAAGCCGCGCCCAAATCCGGGCCGAGCCAGCATCGAGCCCGCGTCGGGCACCGGAGGAGGCGCGGGTGCTGCGGGCAGGCGACAGCGGCTGCGGCTGCGACCCGCACCGCGCACCCTGCAGGTGCCGCGGGTTGGGGCCGAAGCGCCCATCCACATACTTCGACAACTACACAAAACATGTCCTCGAGATTATGCCGCACGTCCCGGGCGGCACTGGGGAAACCAAAAAGTAAAGCTACCGCTGCTCCCCGGACCTCTCCTGGGGTGCGTTCCGACCAGAACTTCGAAGCGAATCCAGCGGTGGCGACGAGGGCCCGCCAGGAGGCCGACAAAGGGGGAAACGGGCGAAGGGTAGAGGTATGGGTACCTGCTCCTCCTCTGCAAGATTTTGTGCCACACGTCCCGGGCGGCACGCTCTTCAGTAACACCACAAAAACAGACTCACGCGCCTCGCGCTCATCATACAATACTGCGCGCAGGCAGGTTGGCCCCCCGGAGGTGCAGCGCGGCCCCTAGCGGCGCCTCGAAGCTGCGCACGCCGCCGGGCAGGGGCAGCTCGTCGGCGGCGCAGACGCGCACCCAGCAGTCGCTGGCGCTGGCGCTCGCGCCGCGCCCGGCCACGGCCACTGCCGCGCCGAGGCAGGCGGCCCGCTGCATCAGGAAGCAACTCCTGACGACCTGCCCCCTGTGAGAAAGACAGCTATCGTGCTGGGAGGGCGGGGCTGGGAAGGCAAAGCGGGGCGCGACGGTGCAAGAAGCCCACCCACAAGCCCACTCGACATTCTTATACGCGATAGTACGGACGACCGGATCATGTCTCCCAATCCCTTCTGTTGCATCCTCGGGGGACCTTGTCTGTCCCGTCGCAGCCAAATCCACACCGAATCCGTGTCGAACCCATGTCGGACTCGTCGGACCCGTGTCGAATCCGTGCCGAATCCGCGTCGAATCACCGTCACATCCGCACCGAGTCCGCACCGACTCCGCATCGAGCCCGGGTGGGGTACAGGAAAACACACCAATTTTGGGGGACAGTCGGGTCGGGCGAAAGCGGGGGACAGCAAAGGGGGGGTTGAGAATCAGCTCGCGTAGCTGATTTTCCCGGCGCCTCCCAGCGCCGGATGCAGCTATGTATCGAGAAACGGGCCCCTCGGCGAGGCCGAAACCAGCTGCATGCAGCAAATTTCGTACCCCCCCCTTTCCCGATCCCCCTTTTTCGTCCGTCCCGAGACAGGCGAGGCCCCCCGAAGATGCAACGCAAAATCCCAGCCTCCAAGCCTGCGATCCTGGCGCCTCAGCCTGTCTTGGAGCTGGGTGCCTCCAGCCCAGGCGGGACCATCACAGACCGATCCGGCCCGAAACAATTTATAGGGAGCCCACAAAGGACGTACGCGCCCAGCTATGTACATGAACGCGGTCCCTTGAAACGCGAGACCGGTCGCGTGATACGAACATTCGCGCAATGCGAACTCTCGAAGCCAGCACGGAATCATGTACGTGTACGTTCTTCCTTCGCTCCTGAGTTAAGAAAGATCGGGTCCCAAGGTTCCGGTGGTGATTTTCGAGAGATCCAGCCCGAAGCATTGTAAAGAAAGGTCGGGTCCCAAGGCTCTGGTGGTGATTTTCGAATGATCCAGCTCGAAAAAACGTGAAGAAAGATCGGGTCCCAAGGCTCCGGTGGTGATTTTCGAGAGATCCAGCTCGAACAAGTGTAAAGAAAGGTCGAGTCCCAAGGCTCCAGTGGTGATTTTTCGCCATGGTTCAATGTTTTCGCAACGTCGGTGCGCCGCCAATCCTGCGCGGTCGTCGTCAGAACGGTCAAAGGCTAGCACGGTGAGGGCAATGGAAAGGGTCCCATTTGCTGAGGAATCTTCTGGAGCTGGAAACTTCATGGACACACTCCTGAACGAACGCCCCAAGCGCACATCTGGTCTGGAAACCGCTATGCCAAATTAGGCCAAATTAGGCTGCACTTAGCGGGATTAGTTGGTGTTCAGCGGAATTGCACGGGATCATGCCTGACTAGGTCCGTTTCGACAACGGGAAACCGATGATTCGGCCAGATTGTGCCAGCTTGTGCCGTTTGTCGCTTCCCAGGGGTTGCATCCGAAGCTGCCTATGCCAGCGCGAGGCGGCCTGAAGTGCAAGGCCATCGCTTCGGGGCGAGCCAGAGCCCATGGCCCCCCCCCCCCCCCCCCCTCACCTCCATTCTACCGGCGTGTGAAGCAAATGCGGCGGGATGCCGTTCGGCAGCTGGCGGCCTCGGGGGGGCCCTCTCCGGGGAGCCCTGGGGCCGTGACAAAAACTAACTACTCCAGATCTCGTAATAAAAGGGAGGGGGTCTGGACCCTCCAAGATAAGCCATTTCAGACCTCCCCCGTGGAAGAACCCTCCAAAACATCGTCCCCAGACCCCCCAGGCCCTCCAAGATAGCCTGGGACGGGCCGAAGAAGCGGTCCAGGGGCAGGGATCGAGATCCCCAGGGGTCCACGCTGCGCGAAGACATCGCGACGCCGGAGCTCTGCGACAGCCCTCTCGGACTCATCAGCGGCTGCTCGGGTCAGAAGAGGGGCGCGCGCCTGCTTCGCCGGGGCCAGTGTCAAGAGGCGCTCGACTGGTCTCGGCCCTGGGGCCCACTTCGTGAGGATGTCCCGAGCGGGAGCGCCGTTTGTGGAATCTTCCAGCGGAGCAGCCGGAATCGCCGGAAACGATGCAGGAAGCGTCGTTGTTGACCTCCCTTCCTCGCGCGCCGGGGAAATTGATCAAGAGAGCTCCTCAAACACTCCCTCAAAACTACCCCCGCGCTGAGGGAGCACGGGTACCTCTGCGTTTTCTCGTGGGTTCTTCTTGTGGTTGCTGGGTGGCTCTTGTTGCTGCTGCAGGGGGTGCTGCTGCTGCAGCTGCGGGGCTCTGTTGCTGCTGCTGCAGCTGCTGCTGCAGCTGCCGGGGAAATTGATCAAGAGAGCTCCTCAAACACTCCCTGACAACTACCCCCGCGCCGCTCCGACCCAGCCCGTCCATATTCCGCTCCCAACTACCCACCCGTTCTGGCCAAACGACACCTCGAGACCCATCGTTGGGGAAAGGCGCAGGACTAACTTTCGTGGAGAGTGGAAAGGATCGCGATCATATCATTATGAATGTCAGATGTTGTGCCTGTATCGGGTACAGTGCATCAGTGTTCATGTGTTTATGTGCGCATGCACGCGCGGACTCAAGCGGGCATGTACCAATCAAATTTAGATGAGGCTTTGCATGCACACGCTGTGCTTCCATACGCACGCACACGCTGCAACATCACAACATTGAGAACACTATCCGGCACTGCGCTGGTAAGCACATGTTACGTCTTTGGATTGCGAACAATTCTCTGGTTTGTTTGTAAACAGACAACCCTCCCGGAAGGCCCCCAGAGTCCTCCTACTCCTCCTCCTCCTGCTCATCCTCATCTATCTGTTTCCTCCCTCTCCTCCGCTTCTTCTTTCTCCCCCGCGTGTTCCCCGAAGGGTTTCCACAATGGCTGGCAGAACACATGGTCTGATAAGTTGGCAGAGCTCTGGCCAATATGTTCGGCCACATGGGCGCCTCTAACAGGCAGGGAGCAGCGGTGATTCGCCGACAGCGTCTTCGATCTGCTCGGCACGGGGACGGGAAGCGCAACTTAATGTGCAATGGCGCGAGATCCCTCGCTTGTCCGTTCTTCCTCCTCGTATGTCCTCTCGTCCCCTCGCCCTTGTCGCATCCTTGAGCGGCGTCTTGGGGCACTCTTGGGCCGTCTTGGGCGGCTCTCGGGCTGTCATCGGGCCTTCGGAAGCCGACTTAAAGCCCGTCAAGAACCATGTCACGACGATGTCATATAGAAACTTCCGTTAAAACATGCCACGTTGGAGATTCATCATGTGTTTAAGGATATCCCTAACGCTATCGCCATGTTCGGAAATCTCGAGGCGTCTTCGATCTGCTTGGCACGGGGACGGAAACAACGAAATTTGTGATGTTGCGAGATCGCTCGCTTGTCCGTTCTTCCTCCTCCTATGTCCTCTCTTCCCCTCGCCTTTGTCGCATCCTTGCGCGGAATCTTGAGGCCCTCTTGGGCCGTCTTGGGCGACTCTGGGGCTGTCTTCGGGGCTTATTGAGCCGTCTTGAGGCCGTTCAAGAAACATGTGACGACGATGTGTTATAGAGAAACATCCGTTGAAACATGCGACGTTGAAGACTCATCATGTGTTTAAGGATGTCCCTAGCACTCCATTGCCATGCTCGGGAATCTCGAGGGCGCGCCTGAACCGTTTGGACAATGTAAATGTTGTGTTCTCCCAGCTCGGACCGCCCGCTGTCCAAAGCCACGTGTATTCATCGTCAGGGCCGCCCGCTGTCAGAATGTAGCGCTTTCCCAGCTTCGAAAGTCCATCGGTGCTCGGAGCTGCCAAGAAGAACGACTGTGCAGAAACGATGTGTCTTCACCGCTGCGACCGCCCGCTCTTCAGAACTGTGCGTGCTCACCGTCTGTCGTCCGCTGTCCGAATGTAGTACTTTTCCAGATTTCCGACGGCCCGCTTTCAAGAATCTTGCGTTTTCCCCGTTTGGACCTGGTCGTTAAAGGCTTAACGACTTCTGCCGTCCTTCGACTCGCGCTGGAGCGGCCGCGAATTGCTCCAACTTTCGCTGGAGATCTCTGGATTTATCTGGATTTACCCGGATGTATCTCGATTTGTCTGGATTTACCCTGATTTATCTCGATTTATCTGCATTTACCTGGGCCTATCTGGCTCGACTCCCACAAGTCGATTGGCGAAAAGTCGATACGCCCTTAGGGACCTGGGGGACGCTCGGGCCGTCGTCGGGCCCGCTTTAGTCGTCAGGGGGCCCTCTTGTGAGCCTCCTGGGAGCCTCTGGGAACGATCTCGGCGGCATCCTGAACTCTCGTAGGAGGAGAAGAAGGAGGAGGAGGACGAGGAGGAGGAGGAGGAGGAGAAGGGGGAAGAGGACAAAATAGAACAGGACTTGGAAGCTCGAACAATGCGAGAACGCTTCAACACCCAAACGGATCGCTGAGCCATGTCCCCTGAAGCCGTCTCGGCGATCCTTTCAGAGCCCCAGTGGGACTTCGTGTAATCTCGTGGGCCGTCTGGAGGGCTTCTTGGGCCATAGTGGAGCCCTCTTGGTCCGTCTTGGTTGCCTCTGTTGGGCCGCCTTGAGGCCTCCTAGAAATGATACCAAGACGATGCCGACAACATATTACGTGTTGACGCTGCCCCGGGTGAACTCGTCATGTGGGGCAAAAGCGAGACCAGGACGATGTCGACAACACATGTGATGGGCCCACTTTCCACCACCGCTACCATATGTAGGAGGAGGAGGAGGCGGAGGATGAGGAAGACCTCCTCATCCTCTCTTCTCCCCCGTCCTACATTATGGTAGTGGCGGCGGAACGTTTGCCCATCAATCTATGCCCGAGAATGTCCCCAGCGCAATCGCCGTGTTTGGCAGGGGCGACGTTGACAGCACCTCGTGCATGCGAGGACGTACACACCGCCGAAGGAACGCCACGCTGCGCCAGTCCAACCACCAAGGCGACGTCGACAACATCCCAGTTGTGTGAGGATGTACCTAGCATTAGGTCGGGCATGTCCCCCTACAGGCGGATTTGGGGTCAAAAATGAAACATAGCCCAACAACATATTCCCAACTAGTGACAAGCATACTCAAAGAACCATCCCCTGCTTATTTGTTCTGCTCTTTTTGAATATGTCTCCTGTAGAGGGACACGC